TTAATATGTGAGAAATATCCGTTTTTTTGGCCTTCTTAGCAGACATAGCATCTGCTTCAACAAGTAGAACTGTTGAATTTTCCTTTGCAAGTTCGGAAGCAAGTCTTCTTTTATGCCGTAAACTTCCTTCGTCATAAGAGACAGAAAGTTTTTTATTTTGTTTTTAATCACCTCCAAATCGTTTTCCGGAAAATCATTTGGAATTACTTCGACGCAAACCCAGTCAAAAGTAGCATTGACATTGCGATTTTTATCCAGCCAAACTTCTAGTAGGTCACCTCGACGAATAGCAACCTTGTTTGAATCTGTTGAAATATTTAACCCGCCCCCGCAAGTTTCCGCAAATTATTTAAATGCCATCTGAATATACATATAATAACTCATACTACCACATAAGTTGTTATTTGAATCCTGTTGTATCTTGCTAGATATGCTCCACGAAACACAAATATTTTTAGGTTAGAATCAACAAAATTACTGTTTACGTTTTACCTTAAAAACATGACAAAATATTTTCCAATTTAAGGTATTTCAATTGGTCAAACTGTTTAAAAATACGAGAACGCCAAAATTTAGGAACTTCACTAATCAGCAAGCTTGCATGCACCACGTGCAAGAACAGCTGGTGCAAGACGAGGGCTACAAATTAAATATTTTCGATGTCTAGGGACATTTCTTAGCTTAAAATAATTGTAACATTATTTATATATTTATATATATATATTTATATATATTAAAATAATTGTAACATTATTTATACACGAACTTATTAGGTTTTGGCCAAAATAAAGGCATTTCATCCCAATGTGCATTGTCTTGAGAAGGAAGGACGACAGGCTTATTGGTCTGAAGTCCTTAGGGGTGCAGTGAGATGGCTTTCCCGCCTTGGGTATAAATACGATTTTCGTCCGCAACCACATTGCGGGTACGATGCCTGAAAATTGCTGAGAAAGCCTTCTTGACCCAAGACCTCAGATTGGGACCGGCTTTAATTAGTTGAGCCGGGACAATGCCATCTGGGCCTGAGGATTTGAAAGGCTTGAAGCTATTTATTGCCCAGCTGAGATACCTGTCACTCAATAGGTATTCAAGTTGGTTAGGGGGGGGAGGGGCTATTCTCCTGTGTCTGCATTTCCAGGTTTGTGTCTTCTCGAAAGCATCCCGGGAAATGTGTCTCTATGAGAGCCTCTAGGGTTTCTCTGCTGGACGATGTCCAGTTACCTTCTGAGGTTTTAATGTATCCTACATTTGGTGCAGTAGTGGCGAGGACCTTCCTGAGTCGGGAGGCCTCTGATGTTTGATGAATGTTCGTGCAGAACTTGGCCCAGGCATTCCTTTTTGCTTGCAAAAGTTCTCTGTTATATCGCCTAAGGTCCGCTTTATACGACTCCCAGGCTGTCTCCAAGTTTGTTTTGCTGGCAAAATTAAAGGCCTTGCGGGCCTTGGTTTTAAAGGGCGCAAGTGTTTGCGACCACCATGGTGGTTTCTTTGACTTGCTATTGCCCGATCTGTTTTGGGGACAAGCTTTATTGAATGCCCTGGCGCACGCTACCGTGAGCGTGTCCACCATGGCATTCAGGGCTTCCCTACTTTCAACGTCCCCTGTTGGAGGTTTCCCCAAGGAACTATCTAGTTTTTTTTTGACCACTAATTCTATGTATCGGTGGTCCGAGAAAGAGTGTTTCTCTAGGACTCCCCAACTAACAATCCTGTCTGCTAGGGATTCAGAGTAAAGAGTGACGTCAAGTACTTCCCCTCTGTTCTTGACTATGAAAAAGGGTTCTGTACCCCTTTTACCCACCAAAAGATTGGAGCCTAGGATAAAATCGAAGATTGACTCACCCCTCTCGTTCGTGTCAATCATTAGTTCCCCACTAATGATGATGGGCGTTAGCATCGCAACCTATGATCAGGTCGATCTTGTGCTTCCTGCTGTCTTCCACCAGCTGTTTGATTAGCGGGTGCGGGGGAGGGCCTCCTGGTCGTGGCCCATATACGCCCAACATATCCTTAGAGGGCCATTTGGGCTCTCTATGGCTGCGGCTACGTGGTCTTCATTGCTGAAATTGTGTAGCAAAAAGAGGTTAAGGTTCTTTTTTGCGAGGATGCAGGCTCGCCTTTTACCTGTATTATCGGCTTTGCAGAGCCTAAACTCCGACGCCCCCAACCCAAGAATCCTCTCCAAGGATCCAGGGTTCCTGGATGAGGGCCACATCAGCTCCACTCTCGGCGAGGTGGAGTTGGATGCCAGCTGACGCTGATTTACTGTGATGGAGGTTTATCTGCAAGATTGTCAGGGACATTCTTACAATTCTCCACCACAGTAACTTCTGCCTCCGTCTCGGAGCCCAGCAGAGAGTCCTCCTCCATTCCGACTCCACTAAGTGCCCTCGCCAAGTCGCTCTCCTCTGAGGTGTACCCTTCCAGGATGTCCTCCTCCTCATCTGACATTCCTTCCGGGTGCCCCTCCTCGGTCGGCTTCTCCAAGTCTGGCTTTTGTGCATCTGCCTCCAGCCCGGTACCTTCTGTTTTGCTCTTCGCATCGGATTTATAAATACGGACCGTCACATGCTCAAATCCATACTTTAATCGGTGCTCCTACCTTTCCAGGGCTTTCACGGTCCCCTCGTTGAGTGTGAGGACGACCTGCCTCCGCATTTCTACCGCCTCCTCGACCTTTGCGACTCTCCAGTCCGCCGTGGGAAGCGTCGGATTGCACATCCTAAGCATTGTCAGGATGGTCTTAGGGTCGGCTGGCTTTTCTGTGAGTCACACTCGCGCCCTCGGCTTACTTGGGATCTCCCCCCAGTCAACCGCCACCAGCTTAGCCCCGGGGTAGACCTCTCCAAGCGATGCTACCATTCGCTTGTAGGTCTCTACCGATCGCGCGACTTCTTAGGCAATTACCTTGTCGCTACCCTGAAAGCATCCTGCGTCTTCGCATTCTGGTGGGGGTCCTCGGCTCTGTAGCATCTCCTCCACGAAGCGTCCATGCAACTCGTTAACCACTCGTCGCCAAAGGTCCTTGGGGATGAGCCCATCTTTGGAACCCTTGTCCAGGACTCCAATTAGGGTTCTTCCCTTCGTCACTTCGGCGAACGAGCGGTTGGACGGCTGCGGCTTGGCCTTCCTCTTCTTGCCTTTTCACGCTTTGCGCGATCTCCTTGGCAGGATCTGACCCAGCACGATTTTTGGGATCCAGCCTCACACCCGCCTTTTCCGGTTGGAAGTCCTCCCTTGCCCACTTAATAATCTCGGCCTGGTCCGGGTTGGCTTCGGTCCGCCCTCATTAAAATGAAGGCTGCTCTTCTCCTATCTTTAAAAGAGCACTTTAGCTGCGTCGAGTGAGACGCTCCAGGACCAGGGTTCGCCTTAGGGGCCCAGCCAGTTGGTTTAGAGGTTGACGCTGGTGGGTTCCTCTTCACGCCGTTTGGTGGTCTCATGGCTAGCCCCGCTTTGGAAGAAGAAGCCTTGGCAACCTCCTTCGCACCGGCGCAGCCCGCCTCCAGATGTTGCCCCTCTGTGGGGGGCTTCTCCATCTCAGCAACTCCTTGGCCTTTTTAGGGCCTTGGAGTTTGACGGGTCATTGACCCCATTTCCGGACTTTTTTAGGGAGTTCCGTTCTCCACTTTGGTTTTTGGTTAGTTTAGTAGAATTCATATTTTGGTCCCACGAGTAGGCGGGAAGGGGTTCGTCCATCATGACATAGCCCGCTTGTCACAATAAGCCTGGTTAAAACTGGGAGGTCGGCCGGTCCCCCAGAATTCGCATATTAGCGTCCGAGCCCCCCCCTCGGACACGCATCCTTCGGCATATGCTGTTCCACCTTGGATTGGGGTGATTTAAGGAAGGGAGTGTTCTTCTCCCCGCCCGACTACCATTAGCCAGCATCCTCGGCAGAGACATGACCTTACCGGAGAGAAGAGAGAGTATTGTCGCATTACCAGCGGTGTACACAGTTACGGCACGCAATTGCTTGCGCGTAGGTCCCCCTGTTGTACCCGTTGGCTGTACGGCCTATTAACGAGCTTATTGCTTATTCTTTTATTTCTCTTTCTTGTTTTGTTTCTATTTGTGAGTCATTTTTCGATAAAACGCTGAACAGAAAACAACTACTGTTAGAGCTGAAAAACTTTTTTTGCTGCAATTTTTCGTTTGCTTGTTTCATTTTTGTCAATCATGAGTGATGAAGTGGAATTCGTTTATAATATGCGATCGCGTTACAAATATCAAAGTACGGATTTTCATGACCGTTTATCAGAGGTGTCGAAAAACTCGCATTTACTGCTGTAAATGTTCGAATCCGGTGTGTCGACAACATTCGAAAATCGAATATATATGCTTCGCATGCCTTCCTCAGAAGACATGAAGAAATTTGACGTTATGTTTAACTACAAAACTCATTACTATTCCATTTCTTTTGTATTAAAAACTTTGTTTTGGCTCATAATAAATGGTAAAAATGAACAAAAGAAAAAAGTTGTTTTCTCTCACATTCCGGATATTTTTGCAAGTTTATTTTTCCTCACATAGGTACTCTTATCTAAGTCAAAATAAAATAAACTGGTCAGAAATAAAAATATTTACCTATTCAAGATTCGACCGCATGCAACTCTAATTCCCATACAAATGCATTTAAACGTATAGGGGTCTGGCCAGGCACCATGTGCGTGGAATAAGGTTTTAAAATATGTGCGTGTACGAGGGTTAATCAAGTAATTAATTCAGTAACTTGGTAATGACCTTCTCTAATTAAATAAAATAAATTAGAATTTATTGGTAAGGTTTTATGGTGGCAGTGGTCGGCACCCAAAACATTGATATGATTTTAACCCATTAGTATTAGTAACGAATAGCAAAAGTAGGCTGTGAGCATGACGTTTCACACATTTATACTGTTTGTGGCCTTGGCCTTGCCGACCACTGTTGTATGGATAAAAATCATAAATAAAAAAACAAAATTTAATTTCTTTTAACGTATATATTTTTTTTCCTTTTAGAGTTTGGAAGCATCAAATTGTGGAAGAGTAAACCATGGAAACCCTTCATCGGTTAATCCTATTAAAGCGACGCCTCCCATGTGGAGATGCTCTAAGGTTATGCAACTGCAACGAGAAGTGCATCCCACGATTTTAAGTTCCTTAGAGGGAATAGTAGACCAAATGGTTTGGTTTCGAGAAAGCTGGACTGAGGAAGTTCTTCGACAACTTCGTCAAGGCTTGATCAAATGCTACGCGATTGCATTTGAAAACAGAAATACAGTTATTCAAGCCACTATCACACCTCATACGTTACATTTTGTTAAAAAACTTGGCTCCACATTTGGCATTGGAATAGAGAATGTGCCAGGATCTGTAACATCGTCAATATCTAATTCTGCAGCATCAGAATCTCTTGCACGACGAGCGCAAGTTACATTTCAGGATCCCGTTTTTCAAAAAATGAAGGAACAGTTTACCAGTGACTTTGATTTCTCAAAGCCAGGAGCAATGAAACTGCACAATTTAATATCAAAGTTAAAAACATGGATAAAAGTTTTAGAAACAAAAGTCAAGAAACTACCAACATCATTTTTAATCGAAGATAAATGCAGATTTCTATCAAATTTTAGTCAAAAAACAGCTGAAGTGGAACTTCCTGGAGAATTGTTAATTCCTTCGTCTTCTCATTATTATGTTAGAATTGCCAGATTTATGCCAAGAGTGGAAATTGTACAAAAAAATAATACAGCAGCAAGACGGCTATATATAAGAGGCACAAATGGAAAAATATACCCTTATCTTGTTGTTTTAGATTCCGGGTTGGGGGATGCTCGTCGAGAAGAACGAGTACTACAATTAAAAAGAATGTTAAACTATTACTTGGAAAAACAAAAGGAAACAAGTCGACGATTTTTAAATATAACAGTACCCCGGGTAGTACCTATCTCGCCGCAAATGCGTTTGGCTGAAGACAATCCCAACAGTGCATCATTACTTAAAATTTTTAAAAAATGTTGCCAAAAAATGCAGTTGGACTACGATACCCCTGTAGTTAAATACTACGAACGTCTTTCTGAAGTCCAGGCCAGGGGAACACAAACTACACATTCAATATTAAGAGACATATTTACCGAAATACAAAGGAAAATGGTACCTAAAACCTTACTTAAACTTTGGGCCCTGAATACGTTTTTTGCAGCTACTGACTTTTGGCATTTCAGAAAAATCGTAAGTTTACTTTTAACCAACAATTTTTACAAATTTGGGTAGGGCACATAAGGCCAGTAAGTAGAACAGCTAGATGGCTATACAAAAATTTTTTTTAATTAAGCCAGCTTCAATTGGTTTTGCTCGTTAACACATTAATTATAAAAAATTTAAATTATTTTGAACTATAAATATTCCAGCACATGTTGTTTGGAGAAAAAAAAGATAAGCTGTGGAAATTAAGTATAATTTTAATATTATAATACCAGGTACTCGTATAGTCGTGGGAATGTATGAATGGAACATAGAGAAGGAATTATCTCCGAGCCCATACAGTATATATATTCTTGATTAGCATCAACAAACATGTCTTGTTTAACGTGGCGTTTTTAGAAGACTAAACTAGAAGACTAGAAGACAGACTAGAAGCTATAGCTATGTACATAGCGACCACCCTGGTCGCTATGTATATATTGTCGCTATAGCACATATTTGTGCTTGCCGGGCAGCATAATCCCTCTGGATCAGAGGCGAAACGTATCTGTTACCTCTCTGATCTATGGGTCACAGCACGCAAGTTGGCAAACGCAACTCCACGTCGAATCCGACGATACTCCTACAAGGGGGTCTACCTCAATGGTAGTGTTTGGACACTATCCAACCCGTGGCACCGAAGTTTGTGGGTTTGGTGAGAAACCTCTTTAGCTCCGACAAGCTCGGTTGGGGCGCCCTGCCATGTTAGTCGCCTTCTACGGCAAGCTATTCTTGGCAAAATTGGACTAGCCACACGGAAAAATGGGACCTCCTCCTCCGGAACACCTCTGTGGAGAAACTTACCGTGTTCTCTGGGCCTGGGGTTTGTGCGTTCCATTCCTCCCGTTTTTGAATGTTGGTGCTGAAGTGGAATTTTACGTGTTCCCTAGGAGTACAGTTGTCTGTGCTAAAAGGGTGGAGTGTCCCGTGATATTGGGATTTCACTGATGTGTTTCTCTTAGTCGAATTGCCGCCAGTTACGGCTGCTCCATACCAGTTAATTAGTGTTTGAGACATGAGAAGAGGGAATATGTATCTTCTGCTGAAGACAACTAACTCTGTTTTCTGCGATGTTGATGCTTGTCCAGTTGGTTAGGGTTTGTAGTTTTTCGCTCATGAGGTCATAGAGTGTTTGAGGATATTTTCCCGAAAACATATTTGCCACGTCGAATCAAAATGACTGCTATGCTCCAAAGAAGAGGGGAGAGGACTCATCTATGCTGGGTTTCTCTACAGATGGCCCTTGAAAGGGTTGATGAGCCTAGTGAAGACATCACTCTCCTGATTGTTAGAAATGGATCAATAAGTCCCACCAAGCGCCCATCTACCCCAAGGGACGTCAAGGCTTTGGTTATGGTGTTTGGACTTCGTTGAAGCCCCTTTCTGTGTCTAAAAAGGCTACGAGGGCGTATTCTATCTGCGAGAGTGATTTTTAAATCTTAGAGACATGCGAATCAAGGGCAGCTTCAGTGGATTTGCCCTATGGTATGCATGTGTTTTGGTTGGTTATGAGGGATGGGATAAGAGAGGTTCTTAGGTGGAAGCCTATGACTCTTTCCAGGGTCTTAGGCAAAAAATATGTCAGACTAATTGTTCTTAAATCTTTTAGGGTCGTGTGAGACGGTTTACTCGCTTTGGGTATAAACACAATACATAAGTAACTTAAGAATGTAGTCTCATGTGTGAGGTTGAAAAAATGGATTTTTTTTTCACATATTTCGAAAGTACTGTTTATTAAGAATGTACTTTTAAAGTTTCAAATAAAAATATCAAAAATTGACAGAGATACAGCCCATAATCGAGAGCGTGCCTACACCGAATAGTATGAGTTACTCGGTAGCGTCTAAACTTTAAACGCGTTTTTCACGGAACGACATTTTTGTGTGCGGCGCAGGTGATTCACAAAATTCTATGGTGCCGATCTAGCTGAAATTTGGATATGTTGTTCTAAAAAGTAACACCTCTGTCCCGTACTAGAATCATTTATTTTTAATGATTAGTTTTTTTTTTATCATTAATTTAAGATAAATTTTTTTTAATTTTTTGTTTTGTGAGTTCGCCATTTTGTTGTTTATTGGTGAAAATATTTCATTCTAGTACGGGACAGAGCCATAAGCTTACAAAACAATAATCTTTTCTAATTTTTTGTTTCGGATGACTCTAGCAGTCGAAATCACCTGCGCCAGGGACCTACCTTTTTTTTTATATGCATACTTTGGAATGCTATAAAGTGTATTAAACTACACAAGAATAAATTAAACCAAAATATTTTCAAATAGTTTATGATGCCTATAAAAACATATTTGAAAATTAAAAGAATCGCATTATTTTTTATTCCAAAAAAAGATTTTTTGAAATAACCTCTACAAATTAGGACGGAACATGAGACTACATCCTTAAGTCACAACTGTCGAAGTTTTTCCAGGGAGTGTTCCTTTGAAAATGTTTGAGAGCCAGTTCGTGGCGATATCGCCCGCGTGTTGGATTTGCGCTGGTATGATTCCGTGAGGACCAGCCGATTTGTAAGGGCTGAAGCTGTGTATTGCCCAGTGTAAGGTTTTTAGGTCAAAGCTTGAGATAAAGTTTGTAAGAGGAACTTATTCGTTTGGCGAGGTGCCTAATTCTGCAGAGCATCCGGGGAAGTGAGTCTCCAGTCAGACTGCTAGAGATTCCTCACATGTGCTGGTGTTGTGGCTTATTTACATAGGATTTTCCAAGCTTGAGCTTCAATGTCCGAGCAGAAAGATTTCCATGAGAAGCGTTTCTCTATGCGGATGGTTTTTTTTATAAGTGGCCAGGAAGGCCTTGTATTCAGTCCAGAGGCTTTCCTCGTCTCTGGCCTTTGGCCTGTTGAACAGGGTTCTACTTGCCGATTGGAGAGAGGCTAGTTCTTGCGACCACTATGGAGGTTTAATTCGCATTGTTGGTTTTGTTTTTGCAGGCTTGGGTTAATTGTTGCACCTGGGAGTTCAGACTTTCCATGGTTTGCCGATAGTCTAGTGGTTTTGGTGTGATATTATTCTCAAGGGTTTGAGAATATTTGGTCCAGTTAGTTTTCTTTGGGTTTTGAAAAACTTCTGACTTTAAGGGGTTATATACCTTCTTTGTCGAAGAAAAAGAGGAAAGTTTGGATTTTTTTTAGGAATGTAGCGATTTGTATGCGATTTTTTTTTGTATGCATACGGGTTTGTGCGTGAAAAGTCAATCGTTCAAGCACAAAAGAATTTAACTACGAACATTTAAAAAAAAAATTTGAAGTAAATCGGTTAGTAGTTTTCCGCCAATCCATGTCACCGCAAAGTCATTTTTCAAGAAACAGAAATCATCTTTCAAGAAGCGCGCGGTTAGGAGCGCTGTATCTTTTCTCTACAGCTCCAATCTCTATGAAAATTTGGGAAAATGTTCTCAAGGAGTTGTTCTTCAAGATAAAGCAATACAAAAATTTTCGATTTTTTGAAAATAAAAAAGGTATATAACCCCTTAAGGTGCTTAACTGCTTTAATACTAGGGTTAAATCTATTGATCCCTTGCGATGATTAATAATGAAGGTGGGGTCATCTTTTGCATAGGAACAGGTTTGACCTCAGTATAAAATTAAAAAGAGACTAACCTCGGTCTCTTCGGTTTTCTCTCCTCGGTCTCAACCGGTCTCGGTTTGTATTTGAGCTCGCCCACTAGATGTGGTGAGCGTTAGAATCACATCCTATTAGGAGGCCTATGTTGAGATTCTCGATGTCTTCTGCTAGCTTTGCCACTAGCTTTTCTGGGGGCTCCGGTTTTTCATAGGCCATGTATGCAGACAGCACCATCTATTGGAGTTGACTGACACTCCACTGTGACTGTCACGTTGTTTGCATCACTGAAATTATGGTACAAAAATATGCTTATGTGCTTCTTAGTGAGAATACAAGCTCTAGTTTTATATTCTGTATATGCTGTTAACAAGTTGCAGTTCTTGGATTATACTCCTGAGACCCATCCCCCAGGGTTTTTAGACTAGGAAAATGTCGGTTCCATCCTCAGCCAGATGGAGCAATTGAGCAGTCGAGAAGCTGCTTTACAGTGATGAAGGTTTATGTGAAGAATCCACAGGAACATCTGCTTAATTCCCCTTCACCACTGTAACTTCCGCCTCTTCATCGTAAGTGATGTCGTTATTCATCCGACTGGCTGCCATGCGGTGCAGCAAAGAGGCATCCGTAGTGTTTTCGTCTTCAGCATCTGAAGCCTCTATCCCGGAGGCCAGCTCCTCCGTGATCTTGGCTACTGTTGCATTGCCTTCTGGGGCAGATCGATACACCTTTCGATGATCGAGCTGAACTCGAAGTTCAGCTTCCCGTAAGCGGCCTCTAGGGGAGTTAAGAAGAATTTATTTATGATGAGGATCTAACATTTGCTCCACCTTCGCCACTCGCCAGTTCGTTGTGAAAAAGAGTGCCTGGGCCAGTTCCTTGATGGAGTTCGGGTCAGATTCTCCAGACATTAACTGGTACCACCAACACCACTTACCACTCTGGAACCATCCCAAGTATTTGCAAACTGAGGCAGGTTCTGGTTCTCTTCCAAAACATTTCGTGGCTAGGGCGGTTTGCCTCGGTCGACTACTCCTAGGAACGGCTCTTCACAATTTCCGCAAATGACCGTTTCGGCTGAGTGCGCAGCCGCTTTGCTGAAGGTCCTCCTTGAACGTCTTGGGAGCGTTCCCGCTTAGGTTAAGGTGGCTCCTTTTTGGGCTTCTGCGAAGGGACGGATTGCTTTGGCGTCGTGCCATATGCCGGGAGAACGCTTCCCAATTCGCCCACTTTACCTTTTTCAGCCCCTACTCTGAGCTTTAGAGGTTTTGGCTCTTTCATGGCTTCCTTGTATTTGGCCTCTTTTTTCAGCTTATGAGACCTTACTAGCCGCTGGAGGCCCACCATCTTCACCGCACCTGAAGGTGGCATTATGGCTTTGGGGCCGGCAGATGGTACCATGGTGGCAGCAATGGA